GGAGGGTGCCTGTTAGGAATAAATGATAGCATGCAGACATGGTAGTAGCCTATGCTTAGTATATGGTGGCATTTGTAATGTTAACTATTATCAATGATAATATGAGAACAATGGGATCAACTGGGCTGTTTTTTCATTAGAATCGCTTGAACAACTTGTAAAGTTGGCTGTATTATAGTCCCAAATCCATGATATTTTAAAATAGAACAATGTTTTTACATGACTCAATCAAATAATAATGTACTTCAGATTCCCTCCTTGTGAATAAAAAAGCTGAACTTCTGAAATGAGAAAACTAAACTGATTATGTAGAAAAGAAAACCATCATACTAATTCTCAGTAATTGAATCAGTTTCTTTTCTAATACTTTTGAATTCTAAAATGTATACATGAAAATACAGATATTATAGAGTGCAGTTTTATTTCACAATTTCTTTTTTTTTTTTTTGAGGCATGTTTTTTATTTATTTATTTGTTTGTTTGTTTGTTTTGTTTATACAAGCACTGGGTACAGTCAGAAGCGCCGGAGGGTGAGAGAATTCACCAGAACCAGAGCGGAGAGCAGAGCAGGCAGAAGGACCGAAGGACACTGCTGAGGGGAGCAGCGGGCGGCAGGAGAGGTCTGCGCGCCATGTGGGACCCTCCTCTGGTGGCCGGGGAGCAGATCGAACCGGCACCGCAGAGGCCGCGGGCAGCTTCGCAACCCAGCGCTCAACCGCTGCGCCACTGGGGAGGCCCTATTTCACAATTTCTTAAGCAAAGCCACTATTCCTCTGAGCAGTTGACTCCAGAGTGAATGTTGCCAAGAATGGGAGGCAGAATTATACTCTATAATGTGGTACCTTCCCAAGTTTGGAAGAGTGTAGTAAAAAATTTTAGTTTCACTGATACTAAGGTGCTTTAAATACTTACACTTCCCAAACACTTAAAAGTGGAACAACACTCTCTAGTACAAAAGGAAAATTATGTACTAGAAGATATTTTTTATGTGTCACAAGTATATTGGAAATGCTTTTTGGGTAGTCAGCAAAAACATCTGATTAAACACTACTTCCTGATTTTCTTGGGGGAAATGTGGATAGAACATAAATGTAAATTTTTTTTAAAGATTTATTTATTCATGCATGCAAGAACTGGGGTACAGGCCATGTGCTGGAGGGTGAGAGGAATCACCAGAGACAGAGCAGTGAACAGAACAGGCAGATCTACACAATGCTGAGGGGAACAGCGGGCAAGACAGGAGAGGTCTGCCATGCTATGTGGGTATCCCCCCAGCCGGCTGGGATAGAACCCATGCTGCAGAGGCTGCGGACAGCTTCACAGCGTGGTGCTCAACCGCCTGCACCACCAGGGAGGCCCTATAGATGTAAATTTAATGAAGACCGTAGAATTTTTTTCAACACATATTTACAGTTAAAATCCACATGTAAATTATATTACGTCTATAATATATTCAGATGTATGTTTTAAAATGATGTTTACTATTTTAGGATCACAAAGGTAATAAAGTGGGTATTTACATTCATTTAACATTCTTAATGTTTAAGAATGCATTCGATGGGCCTCCCCCGTGGCGCAGCGGTAGAGCGCTGGGTTGCAAAGCTGCCCGCGGCCTCTGCGGCGCTGGTTCGATCCCCAGCTGCTCCCCGGCCACCGGAGGAGGGTCCCACATGGCGCGCAGACCTCTCCTGCCGCCCGCTGCTCCCCTCAGCAGTGTACTTCAGTCCTTCTGCCTGCTCTACTCCCCGCTCTGGCTCTGGTGAATTCTCTCACTCTCCCGCGCTTCTGACTGTACCCAGTGCTTGTATAAACAAAACAAACAAATAAATAAAACATGCCTCTATAAAAAAAAAAAAAAAAAAAAAGAATGCATTCGAGAACTGATGCTATATGTAATGTTTCTAAAACTCACATTTGACTCATGAGCCACAGAGTTAGTATCTACAGTTCATTTAATATAATTGTACCTCATGTACTTGTCACCTCATGATCTCTCAGTTTGTATTCTTTCCTGGAATATAAAAAAAGGTGAATTTTGTGTGGGGAAATAATGATATTAAATAGGAGAGGAAAAGAGTGAAAATTGAAAAAGCAATCACCTGTGATGTATGAATACAGACAAAAGCCATTCTATTGTATCAACTCAAGACGAAAAGCTTATTTAATTCTAATTAACTTGTCCAGGTCTTCCAGAACTCACTGAGATAGGGGATGCACTGTCCTTTCAGCTGAATGCCTGTAGGGTTTAATATGAACTCTGGCTTTGTTCTTGAATGGAGATAGATTGTCCTTATAATATTCTTTAGTAAGAATATCACAGTAAGTTCAAAGAACTTATCAGCAAATTTCAGTGTATATTGACAGAAGCAAATGCTTTTCAGTAGATCTTGTATCATTTTTATCTGTGGATTTCTGAATAGTAATCGTGTTTCTGGAATTAACTATTCTGTTCTGAAGACTCAAAGACTTGATATACCAATGCACGTGACTTGTGACATTATATTTGAAGTTTTACAACTTACTCATAAAGGGAACTAGTAAAGTGTTCGTTTTATATTATTGCTATTTTAAGATTTTGGTAGCAGTTTACTTATGATAAATTCATAAAATCCATTTGGTTACTTTCAGTAATTTTCAAATGTTGGGGATATCTACAAGGTACCTTTGTAACAGTGTGAGCCCAAGGGAAGGGGCAGTTCCAGGTTCCCTGCCCCACCTAAGGAAGCATAGAGCTGAGCAGGGATAGCAGAGGAAGCTGGAGAGGAGACAGGGGAAGGAAGGAAGGAAGGAAAATGGGGCTCAAGAAGGAGACATGGCGGAGGCACATGGAGCAGAGAGACATGAGAAGAAACTGCATGGGCTTCTTGGTCTTGGACTGGTTGAAATAGATGTGGGTGAGAGACCCAAGGGGAGGTTAACAATGGCAGCTTTTGTCTTGATTTTGATTTTCCTCTTTCCTTGCAGACTTCTTTGGCCCCTTCTCCTTTCCTATGGGTCCTCCCCCACCAGACAGTGCTTTAGACTTGTGCATGCTTTGGGCCTTATTGGCCCTGCTTTGGGCCAACCCTGTTTGGCTGGACATTTACCCATGAGGATATGGGTAATTTTAGGTCCTTGGTTTTGAAACTTTATTCTTTGTCGTTTCTATATTGCACGCTAATTTTATGAATGTTCTTTTCCATTAAAGGTCTTATGCTCTAGAGTATGTTTTGTCTTGATGCAGCAGATGGCAGAACTTGTTTAAAGAGGGTAGGTTCAGGAGTTCTGGGTTACCCCCACCACCACCACCACCACCACCTATAACACAACCAGTATCATACAGTGTTGGGCAGCTTCTCCAAGCATTTCTCTGCCACAGTTTTGGCCCAGCCTCTGGTGAGATGCCTTCTTAAAAACAGTTTTCTCTGGCATCCTGGAAGTTGTATTTCTTGTACATTCTGCTGGCACATTATCACAGTAACCTCTCTCCTATTCAGTGCATGATCTTACTCCATCTCTAACAAGACCTTGATTTCCACCTGGGCAGCTTATTCCTAGAGGTAATGGCTACTCCTTGCATCTGCTATCCGTGTATTATTTAGGGTTTTCTTTACTTACTAGCCAAACCCTTGATTTGAGATTCCAACTCTGTGTTGACATTTATTTACATTAAACGTTCCTTTTTCAAATTATTATATGGTTTATCTTTTCTGACGGTATGCAGAATGATACATTGGGGGGAATGAAGTATCTAAGAAATTATTATGAGCAGTGAATTTAGTAAAGTTTCCCAGTAAAATAGAAATGAATCTTGATAATGTAGTATTGAATTATAAGTGCATTCTAAAATACTTTTGAAATAGAAGGGGTATCCTTTAAAAAAAATTAATTATGACCCAGGGCTGAACCTTCAAATGACTTCAGCCAAATCTAACATTCCAGTTATCTGTGCTTTATGGAAACCACCTTAAACAGAGTAGCATAAAACAGTAAGTATTTTATCATCCTTGTAGGTTCTGTGGGTACGGAATGCAAGCAAAGTGTAGAGGACATGACTTGCTTCTACTCTACGATGTCTCAGCCTTGTTTCAGAGCTAGAGCTGAGGCTGATCCAATGGCTGAGACTGGGATCTGTGAGTCTGATCCTGGCTGGTGTGGGTAGCACGATCCAAGGCTGGTGTCTGCCAGGACTGCTGACCTGGGCACCCAGCTGTGGCCTCTGCATGTGGCTTAGACTTCTCATTGCATGGCAGGGTTTTTACTGGGAATTTCTCAGAGGGAGCAATGAGGGAACAGGCATTGTAAGAAAAACAGGTGACGTTCAATAGTTTTTTCTGGTCTGGATTTCTGCCACCTACTTCCTATTGTTTATAAGCAAACCACCAAGGTTATCTTATATTTAAGGAAGAAATGAAATAGATTTAACTTCTCAATGGAAGATTTTTTATGTTATGAGAACATGTGGGATGGAAAATATTGTCATTTTTTCAGTTGGTCTACTGAGAGAGATGTTTCATGGGGTAAAAAGGCACTATAGTTGCCAGTATTTCTGTGAATTTATTTTTTCTTCCTGAAATGTCAAAAGACTTCATTTATTTAGTTCAAACAACCAAAAGGAAAGAGGAACAATCTATGAGACCTGTCCATTAATGCAGTGTAATTTATCAGTAGTCAATGCTTCTGTCTTGTTACAGGGATCACTGCTAAAAAAGAGGTGAGAGCAGATAGACCAATTCTGTCTTGTCAATGATAAGTATATACAAACAAATAAAAAAGCCCTTGCTATCAAACTCACTCTATCAAACAAAGATGATTCAATTCTTTAAGTTAAGAATCTCACACTTGGGTTTCCAAGTGTACTGGTATAAGTGATACTTTCCTTCCCTATCTACTATATCAACATGGATTAGGAGTGTCTCACAACCTTATCTACATGTTATTCTGGGGCCAGCATCCTACCATTGCTGATCTATTCTCTGGCATTGAAATAAAAGTGATTTTACCAACTCCCTCCACCCCTACCTCCCTACTCCACCTCCCCCAACAGTTCAAAAAATTAAATCATTTTTCTTGTGGGGAAACTTTAGAGCTCATTGGTATCATTTATACTGCAATAAGCCACAGGACTTACACTCCCATAAGTCATCAGAATTTACTTAATTGTTTAGAGAATTTTTCAATAATGTTGAGTGTTAATAAAACTGGTTGAGCTATTCCTCCTCGGGCTTGAATGCCAATTAATTTGTATTGGAAAAGACTTTGCAAAATGGCAAAATAATTCCAAATTCATTTGACAAAGAGGGTAATTTCACTAAGATATCCTCCCTTTTAATTGTCATCTCAATTTATTTAAAAAATTAGTAGTGAGGGTGAATAGAGAGACGGGATTAAAAGGGACTTTACAGACTGACAGGGTTCTAAACTCTTTCTGTGGCAAGTTTTTAAATTTTCATGCTTCATATGAAAATGTATAAATAGCAATGGTACTTGCTTCATAGGTTTGTTATGGCAATTAAATGAGGTAATATTTGTGAACTATTTACAATGCTATGCACATTGTATATGTATGTGCACAGCACTATGTATGTGCTGTACAAAATAGGTGAATTAGTTTGAATTTATGTCCTAGCAATTGAGAGACTTGGTATAATTGTAACTGAGGACTACGCTACTCCAAAGCCTGTCCAAATTCTGGAAGACCTCTTATAATAGTCTCACTTCCTGGACACATGCTCACCCAGACCAAGCACCCTGCCGAAGTTCCCTCTCAGCTCCTGGGTCCTAAGAGCATACACCATGGGGTTAAGGGCTGGGGGGATGATACTGTGTAGCACATTGAGGAGAACTGGGATCAAGGGAAACCTACTTCCTGCCAGATGGGTGACAGACACTACAATAATAGCTGTGTAGAAAAACAGAATGAGGATGACATGAGAACTACAGGTACTCAGGGCCTTTGATGTTGCTTCAGCAGAGTTCAGCTTCAGCACCGAACGAATAATCAGAGAATAGGAAGCAAAAACCAGAACTATGTCACCCCCACCCATGACCCAGCCTAAAACCAAATGGTAAAATTTATTAATGGTGATGCTGTCACAGGCCAGGCTGGTCACCCCCAAGTTGGAGCACAGGCAGTGGTCAATCTCATTCCTGGAACAGTAGTGTCTCTGGGCAGCCAGAACAGGTACCGGGAGGGTGAAGAGGCAGTTCCTGAGTATCACAGACAGGGTGACTTTGATCACAAAAGCCTGAGTGATGATGGAGGGGTACTGAAGAGGATAGCAGATGGCTACATATCGGTCCACAGCCATGCAGAGGAAGATGCCTGTCTCCATGTACATAAAAGTGTGGATGGCATAGATCTGAGCAAAGCACTCAGGGAGGCTGATGGCTTTGGCGTCAAACCACAGAATGGCCAACACCTTAGGAAGGATGGTGGTAGCTAGGCCAACGTCCACAACAGCCAGGATAGCAAGGAATTGATACATAGGCTGATGAAGTGTAGGCTCATTGTAGATGGTGATCAAGATGAGGAGATTGGCACCAAGAGCTAAGAGGTAGAGCAGAGCCAGGGGCAGAGAGAGCCAGTGCTGCCACTCGTGAATGCCTGGGAACCCCAGCAGGATGAACTCGGACACCTGAAAATTTGAGCCATTGGCTATGCTTAGGGGGGTATCCATAGCAGGGGATGTCTCCTTAGCATCTACCTGTGGATGAAGGAAGAAAAACAGGCTGGTAAGTTCCACCCAGGGACCTAGTGTGTATAGGTAAAAACACTCACTAATAGCTCAGCTCTTTTAACATAATGCATTCGCAAGCCCTTTGACATCCGGGGTAAAATTCAGATAACAATAGAAGGGCCAAAGAGATTCTAAGATATTCTTGTCTTCTTTTTATAATTAAATTTAGTTTCTTACATTGTTATTCATTTTTGGACAGCATTTCATTTCCCCCTCAGTGTGGTGCCTGCAGTTCCCCCACCACCGTGGCACCTGTGATCCATCACCACAGTCCCCGTGCTCTTCCCTCCCCTGTTCTGACCCTTCTCCCTCCCCAGGCTGCGTGCCTCTGATCTGTGGTCTGCTTGCAAGTTTTGTCTTTATTCTGACCCTTTGGTTTCTCTATATTCCACCTATATGGGAAACCATCTGATATTTATAATATAAGGATTCTTAGTGTGATTAAAATGAGGATTTTCTGCATTTTTTTGGTTGAAATTCTGGGAAAATGTTTTTATATACAGGACACATGGATACAAAGCAGAAGACGTATACATTATAAAAAAAACTATGATTTCAAGCGGTGAAGTTAGAGGACAGAAATATTGACCATACTCTTTGGAATCTCCAGGAAGAAATAAATAGCCACAATGAGAATCCTGACTATGTTTTTCTTTTTTTAAAAAAAATTAATTTATTTTCTTATATTGTTGTCAATGGTTGGGCATGATTTTCCTTTCAGTAGCGTCTGCAGTTGGTAAATAGTTTCTGATACAAACCCTGTCATTTAATCTTTACCAATAAAGTACGATTATTCACATACAAGGTAAGAGGTTGAATGTTTAGGTAAGAATCATATATTGAAAATGATATTAAGTGAGAAAGCTTCTACCCAATTTTACTCTTTTGCATTTAATTCCATCACTTTTTCCATTAAATCATAGTCAATAGCTCAGTGCCTTTCAGAAACACCATTTGTTTCCTCCTCTAATATAAAAGTCATATTAAGCACACAGATAATGCTGTATTTCTAAATAATCAAATATATTAATACAAGATAACGAGAAAAAATGATCAACTAAATTCCAACCACTGCCAGATTTTTGTGTGGTACAGGTTGGAAGTAGAGCAGGCATTTATTGCACACATTTGGCTTTTTCATTGAAGTAATTTTTTGGCTATTCTTAACCCTTTACTGCTTGGTCTTCCTCATTCTTACATTCTTGATTTTGTTTACTCTTGATCTGCTGTAGAATAATTTTTACTTATTGAGTGAAAAGGTGAATATGTGCAGTATGCTTTTAGATCCCTTTAATATCCAAAATTCTTTTTGTTATCTATCTGTAACAATACCTTGCATTCTCCATAATTTAGGAATTGATATTTCCTGACCCAAATTCTGCCTTTGTTTCTCTTGATGCCATTAATTGAAGGTCAAGATTCCATCCCTCATCATCAATGCAAAGAATAATGAAATGAGCCTCCCTGGTGACGCAAGGGGTTAAGCACCACACTATGAAGCAATCCACAGCCTCTGCAGCATAAGTTCGATCCCCGGCAAGGCAGGGAGCTACCCACATGGCGCAGCAGACCTCTCCTGTCTCGCCCGCTACTCCCCTCAGCAGTGTATTTCAGTCGGGCTGCCTGTTCTGTTCCCTGCTCTGTCTCTGGAGAATCCTCTCAACCCCCACACCTCTGGCCTGTACCCCAGCTCTTGTATGTATAAATAAATAAATCTTTTTTTAAAAAAGAATAATGCAATGAGTCTGGTGATTTGTTACACAGGCACAGAAAACCAATACTATTGGATATATTCCACACACCTCCATGTGTAAGATGACTCGCTTCTGCTGACACGACACAGAAGGCATTTAAACACAGTTTATTCTGACTCCAGAGTCTGTTCTTCTAGTGTCTCAGGAACTCTGATCATAGTAAAGGATGCCGAGCAGAGAGCTTTCCCCGGGCTCTTGGATGGGGTTTAAAAAGTGGGATAAGATCACCCTGAATATTAACTGAAGTTGCTGGGATGTTTCTGATTCACTAGTCTTTGCTTGGGGTTGTTCTATTATTTATTCACTGTCAATCTTAGAGTCTAGCTTCATTTCTCTCCCGTTTTCTAATCACAGAGTTTAGTCCCTAGAAAATCAAAGCACCTGAGAGAAGGGAGGTATTAAGAGGAAGAATGAAACAAGGATAGTTAACCATACCAGTCCAAGATAAGGCGGAGTCAAATTCAGAGATCAGGATAGAACTGCAGACGTGGTACACAGCTATCTCTCACCTCTCAGGAGGCAGGACTGCTTGCTACTTGAGGAAGGGCTAGAAGAGCTCTCAAGCTTTCAAATTTGTCTGTAGCTTCTTCTGCTCTCTCAGCTCTAGTGGCCAGTGTTCAGCTGTTGGTTCTGCAGCCTCCTGTCCTTGCTACCATTCCAGACGGGGTTTTTCTATAAATTGGATCCCTGAGCTGTCTGATTCGGGTGCTGCCCTCTAGTGTCTCCCAGCACCCCCTGGGTGTTTATCAGTTGCACTGGGAATAGGGCCCAAGCCTCTTAGTGGTTAACCAGGAAATGTCCTGGGGTCCACGCTGTCAGTCCTTGTCCCAGAACAGCTCACAGACGGGGGGCCATTCACTGCTCACGGGGCTTCAGGGACTTGTTCACACTGGTCTGATGAACAGTGTCCCTCAGTGAAGGAAGTCTTCAAGTCTCCCTATCTCAAAATGCATCTTTATTTCATACTCTTTCCTGAGATAGTCTCTATCTATTTACTGCTTCAGATGTGCTGTGAGCAACTTCTTTATTTTGCTTCCTCATCCTCATCACTTATATACTTACCTCATTGCAATTTAATTTTGTCTCAACTTCACTCTAGCTAATGACCTCAAATTGCCAATAATAATACTTTTTTTTTTATAATTTAATTTTACCTGAGATCTCTCTGGCATTTGTCTGTGTTGACTGGTTCCTTCTAGGACCACTTACTTCTCTTGTCTTTCATCACATTATATTTTCATGTTATTCCATGTAATTACACTGGAATAGAAGAGAACTATTGAATTAATATTCAGCTCAAGAATTTCATAATGGGAGATGTATTGTCTGATCATTCTATCTACAGTAGCGATCCCTGGGCTGATCAGACATTCTCTGCTTTGCCTCCATGACACATCTTGTGACACATTATCAAATCTTTTATCTGCTTTTCTTTTCTTTCCCACACACTAAACTGTGCTCTCTTTGAGAATGTCCTTTTTGTTAGTCTTGTTTACTCCACTATTCCCAGTACCTCAGCTAGTTCCTAGCACATATTAGGTATTTGATGAATATTTGTCAAATAGATGAATAAATATTCAGGAGAATGTGTTAGGGGGTATTCGAGAGGAATTTCAGAGTGTGATGCTGGTGTCACATGCAGTGACTTCTTGCCATTTTATGCTTAGTGCTTTTGTATTTCTAGTAATTTATGACTTAAAAATTCTGTCAGTACTCTTTAAGTAACAAACTCCCGTTTTCAGAAAATTAAAATAAAAATCCTATTATAATAGTATACAGAGATATAGCACATTACATGTCTTGATCAATATGTAAAATTCATATTTAATTCCACAAAAGATAGCTATGGTTTTAGAAATTTTTTCAGCTAGAATATTGTTTGTTGGGTTATATAATATAATATAATATAATATAATATAATATAATATAATATAATATAAAGCTCATCTTGCTAAAATTAAAATGTACAGAATGATAAATTGTCATTAAGCTATAGAGAAAAAAAGTCACAGATTTGTCAGGAAATCAGAAAAATTTGTTTCTTTAAAAGCGAGCATGGTCAGGGAAGTAAGCAGTTCTGGCCATTTTAACAATGTTAATTCTTCCAATTCAAGAGCAAGGGATATCTTTGTATTTTTTTATGCCTTCTGTTTCTTTTGACAATGTATAACAGTTTTCTTTGCTAGGTCCTTCACCTCCTTTGTTAGGTTTAGTCCTGGGTTTAATTCTTTTTATTGTAATGGTGAATGGCATTGTTTTCTTAATTTCTTTCTCTTCTAGCTTATTGCTTGAATATAGAAATGCAACCAGCTTCTGTAAATAGATTTTGTACCCTGCCATTTTATTATAGTAATTTATTATATCAATTAGTTTTTCAGTGGAGTTCTTAGGATTTTATATGTTTATTATCTTGCATATGCAAATAGCACTAGTTTTACTTCTCCTTTTCCAACTTGGCTACCTTTTATATCTTTCTCTTGCCTGATTGCTCTACAAGTTGATTTGGTAAGTCATTGTATTCCTGGTTTTCTTTAGTTATTTGCTCATGGTTTCCTTTAATTAATTGGAGTTATTTAACATAATTTCTTTTTTAAGTATTTTCATAGTAAGCCTCATTTCCCAGACTGTATCTAGTTTTTCCCTTGTGTATGCATTAAATTGTATTGTTTGTATAACTTACACATTTTTGTCTGAAACTATACACTTTGAATATTATAATGTGGCAAATGTCAGAAATCAGATCTTTTCTCTCATAAGATTTGTAGTAGTTCCTTGTTTTTGTTGCTATTGTTTGTTTAATTAGTTGTTCTGATCTAATTTTGTAAAATCAGTATTCTTTTTTATTTCTGTCCACTGCTGTCTGTTTGATTGGCTTAGGAGTCAGCTACTGATTCGTCATATATTTCTTAAAATTCCTAGAACTAAGAAAACCATGTGCCAGTCTCTGTAGATGGATTCTCTGTGTCAAAACATGTCATCACCATTCCACCAGGCAGTTGACAAGTCTGCCTTTAACATCACTTTTTGCTTGTGCAGAGTCTGAAAGCCAGTCAGAGGTGAGAGAGCAGGTACTTCTGTTGCAGAAATAATTCTAGCCTTTTACCCAGGCAGGAGAAGAACAAGCGGTACTTCAGGAATGGCAAAGTTGGGAGAAGCTTTATTACTCATGCATGAGGTACCAGACCTGGGTAGCCCCGTAAGGTCTGAGCACCTGTCTAGAGACAAAGGTTTGTGTTGTTTTTTTTTTTTTAATAAACAACCATCTTACATTGATAACATCGGTTAGCAGGCACAACCATTTGCTGCAAAATTCCTAGGCAAAGGGGGAAAGATACAGCCATTCGGGGAATGGCCTTTGAGAGAGAAATCAGCTTGGCCCACTGTCTGACCTTGTTAAAATGTAACCTCGTTTAGATAAGCTAAAACTTAGATGGAAAGCTCAGTAAGGAAAGATTTGTTAAGTAAGCAAACTTGTTATTTGCAACTGCATTGGATTATTTACTGTACCAGGCCTATGACCCTTTAGCAGGGAGCCGGAAGGATTTATTTGCTTAGCAGTTCCCTTCCACTTCTAAGGTCTTTTCTGAATTCACATCCAGTCTGTGGTATGCTTATTGCCCTCTCTGTGGGACCTTTACAGAACCTTATTCTCCATGTCATGTAATCACCAGACAAAGGAAGGACAGGCAGATAAGCACCATCCACTGCTCCACACACTGGAAATCACTGGGAAATCACTGGGATTTCCAGTCAGTGGGACCCTGCTCCTAAGGCCAGGGAAGATCTCTTGCAACTCTCTGGTCAAGATTGAAAAGAGGACACTGGTGAGGGCAGACAAGGAGTCAGTGTTTATTGATTAATAAATTGGCAAGGAAAGAGAGCTTGGGGTGACTTCTCTGAGCATGAGAGAGAGGCTTGGGGTGGTTGAAGGGTCTCTATAGATTTTAGGACTGGAGTTTGAGAATAAAGCAATTAAACTTTATTGGCTAAGAAAGCAAAAGAGCGGACTTGGTGAAAGTCCATTTGTTGTGGCTAGTTGTGAGCACACATCAGAGGCGGCTGGGGGTTGTGCAGGGCTCGTGACCATCTCCAAGGCGAGCATCTCCTGGAGGCCCTGTGCCCCAGCTCCGGCTGGTGTGACCCAGTCTGGTCTCAAGGTCTGTGACTCCCTTTTTCTTCAGGGTCTTTGAACTCCCCTTTTTCCCATAGCGCCCACTTGATAAGTTGTGGAAAGATAACTCAGGAATGCCTAGCCTGGGGAAATTAGTTAAAAAACAAAAAAGAAGAAACAACAGTGTGCCCATGAAATCTAAGACGGCAGATGTCAGGGCCTGGAAGCACCAGGTTTTAACCTTGTGTTCTCCAGTCTGTGGGGACAACAAAATTCTTGAAAAGATTTTGTCCTTGATCCCTGTCTTGTCCTTGTCCCTGTCCTGGGACCCTTCCTGTCTCAGTCTCACTGCTAAGGCTTCCCTCCCACACCTTTTGGTGTGTCTGTTCCCCTGACTGTCACTCCTGGTCGCTGGTAGCAGAAGCTAATGCAATTATCTTTAGATCTTTTTGACAAGTGCCTCCAGGTAACCTTTACACTATCTTGGAAGAGTTCTGAGTTTTGTGAAATAAAGATAAGCTCTTTGTTCTTGCCCTTCAATGAGCCCCCAGGCATGTACATATTCTCCCACAGTTCTTTGAAAATAAAGTCCTTTCTGTTCCTTCCAGCACCATGAACTCATACAGGGAAAATAAGATGAAGCAAAACAAGGGGTGGGGTGGGAATTTTATGGGGACTTTAACCAAGATGAAAATGCATATGATGGAGGATAAGAATAGAAAGACTGGAAAGGAGGTGCCCCAGGACCAGAATCTGACTCACAAAGAGGTGGGGGTCGAGGGGAATAACATTACCATTAACCCAGCTGTAGAGGTCGTGACTCTTAGGCACCAGTGGCTTATCACAAGGCGTGAGACCCAAGCAGGATCAGATGCTACAGGGAGTGGAGCACAGACCTCAAGGTAAAGATATGGAGATTGGGCCCACCCTGGAATCTCTGGTCCCTTCCTGGTTTTGCCTGTTTGTTACCCAACATCAGCAACAAGCAGGCCACTCCACAGAGGAGTGACCCCTCCCAAAGAGAAGAGGACTATATCAGGGCAGTCTCTGCACAGGCTCGGGGCAGCAGTCCCACTGCCCACCTGTGACTATGAAGGTGCTTCTTTTCACCAACTCTCTCCCTCTGCAGGGCAGCAGCTTCCTGCCTGCCCGTCACCTGTGAAGGCCGCCCACCTGCAACCATGCAGGCCTCAGCAAAACCTGTCCCTTTCCTTTTCCCTAATAAACCTGCTCTTTAAATATAACTAATGTTTCTGCCTCATGGAGAAAATTGCCTGGGGAACTCGCTGTGTGCCGCTGAAACGGGAGCTCTGGTGACACCTTTCCCAGAGTGAACCCAAGGACCCACAACTCTACAAAACCCCACCACATACATTGCATAAAGATGAAAAATGACGTAAAAAATATATAAAGTTAAAAAAAGATGCAATTTCAAAAATGTCACCATGCCAAGAACTGAAGGATGGGGCTTGCTAAGTTATAATGACACCAAGCTTTCCTAGGTGCCTAGTTCTCCAGGTGCCTTTTTCTTGATTAAATGTTCACCTGGTTACTGT